TAAATTTGCTAAGAATAACCATCCGTTACTAAATTTTGTTAACCATAACTAGAGGTGCACAAAAAATCCAAATATCTGATTTTGCGCAAAAAATATCCGAAACTGGATTTGAGAAAAATCAGTTTTTTTAAACCGGATCAGATATTTAAAAATCGGTTAATATAACCGGTTTGAGGAAAAATTGGACGATCGACTTTTTTACCAGATTAAAAACCAGTTTGAAAAAACCCGAATATAAACTGGATTTTATCCGAAAAAAATCGGGTCTGAGGTTTTAAAAACTAGCCTTAATATAGCTGTTGGGGGGGTTTTGTGACTTTTTTTTACCCTTTTTTTCTTTAAAAAAAATCATCATTTTACCACCCTAAACATGTATAAATAGGTTGGGATGTATTTAATTGATTACAACTTTCTCAAATCTTATTATACAACACCTAAACATCTCTCAAATCTTATTTTTATAATTTTTTGTTCATCATGGCTACAAACCGATTTTTTTATATCCGGTTTTTTTTAAAAAAAATTACTTTTTTCAAACCGAAACCGGTTACACAATCCGGCCCTTCAAACCGGTTAGGATCCGAACCGATTTTTTTAAAATTCGGTTTTTTGACTAGGTGAAAAAATTGGATCGTTTTTTATCCGACTTTGTGCATGTCTAACCATAACCATTAATTAAAAAAAGTTAAATGCTAATGATTAGCCGTTATTTAACGGTTTGATTATAAAGTAACCTATGGTTAATCTATTATAATTTTTTGTCAAACATAACACAACTTAATTTTTTAAATTTTCATAAATATAGAAGCACCTATATTTGTAAAAAAATATTTATTTGTAAATATATTTTATTTTATGGAAATATATATATATTATGAGGTATATTCATTTTTTTACAAATAAAAATCTTACGTGTATATTTATATTGTACAATTTAAAATCATGTAGGTTTTTTCTCTATGTTTGAGTTAATGTGCTCATTTATAAGATAAATATGATAACTAAAACATATGAAGAACCATTCTGATTTTATTTTTAATTTATTCTCTAAAAAATATAATTAGTTAATTATACTTTATTAACGGTTGATAATTCTAAAATTAGTGGTCAAAATAAAAGGGATAATAGTTAAGTAGTCACAAGAATAGTTTACCCTTTTTAATATTAACTTGGTCCAAAAAAGTGAAGTATCAATTAGATATAAATTGCGAAGTTTAGGGATTGAATGTACATTTTACCCATAAAATCAACTAAAGAGGACAATTATATAGCGGCTTTACTCACAATTTCGAACCATAGGAAAAAATAGAAAGAAATTGAATCTCTATTCTCTGCCCTTTCCTTTCTTGTTTTGGCTGGATTTTTTTTTTGAAAAAAGCTCCGAAAAATGAGCAGTGAAGAAGCAAAGAGAATCATCACCGGATCTCTGACGGTGAAACCGACATCCGATGAACGGAAGCATTCTCCGGCGCTCACTGCAGAGTCGATTACTTCACCGGCGAGAAAAGTCGTCATCAAAAGCGCCGACATGAAAGACGACATGCAAAAAGAAGCTATCGATACCGCCATCGCCGTTAGCTCTCTTTCTTTTTCAAACTTCCATTTTTTTACTCAATTTTAATGGTTTTTATTCGATTTTGTTTCTGGGTTTTGTTCGTATGATGTTGGTTTATCAGTAACTATCATAAATTTGCAAACTCTGATTTTTTTTTTATTCTTCTTTTTCATGGGTCTTCGATTAGGCATTTGAGAAGAACAATGTAGAGAAAGATGTAGCGGAGCTCATAAAGAAGGAATTCGATAAGAATCATGGACTCACTTGGCATTGCATCGTTGGTCGCAATTTCGGTAACCCAAATTCCCATTTGGATTTAATTTATCTATTTTGATATAAACAAGTTCAATTTTTATGCACAACACTTGCTACAAATTATTTCGTTTAAGTAATGCTGCCGTTTTAGATGAAATCTAAGCAGATCTAGGCTTGAAAGAGATTTAATTCCCATTTACTTTATCATTTTCTGGAGTTATATTGTAATTGTTTCTTCATTGCTATGGAATTTCCTGGTTTAGATCAACAAGTAATTTAGTAGATTGATTGCTTTTGATTAAAGGGAATACTTCAGTTTTTTTGCCTCAAAACTTTATCTGGTTATTCGATGAACGATTATTAGATGTTACAATCATCGATGTAGGCTGTCTCATGGTATACAACCCATGTTAAAAACCCGTACTTATAAACTTGGACTGATAGTGCTACACTTAGTTCTCAGTTAAATTAATCATTTCAATGATATTAGAGGCTGTTCTGCTCTCGTTCGTTCTAGGTAATCTACATCGATAAAGTGAGTATGGAATTATAGTGTCTGTACCATATGCATATATTAGAACATTTTCTTTTGGATTTCTGTGTAATGAACATAGTTGAAAAGGAATTAAAGTGAAACTTCTGTCCACACCACAAAACCATGTTGCATTAATTTTCGTTTCTTTTACTTTGATGCAGGTTCTTACGTAACTCATGAGACAAACCACTTTGTTTATTTTTATTTAGACCAGAAAGCGATTTTGCTCTTCAAATCTGGTTAATCGTGTTTGTTATAACAACGAAGACTGGTGTGATAATTTTGATCTTGGATATGGAGAGGCTTTTACGTATCTCTGTTAGAAATGGTATGTCTTAACCGGGGCACGGTCGTTTGTATGTCAATCCTCTATCCTGAAGTTCTTGTGCCTGACGTGTATATTGTATTGCCACCTTAACTTGAATTTGAACCATGGATGTCAATTACAGTCTTTTGGTTACAGTTTATTGGGTGTTGCTCTTTGATAATTGTCAAGTTGTTTCCTTGTGTTATTTGAATCTCTTTACACGTAGAACTATTCGGTCTAAAATCAAAGTGAAATTAGATATAATTCAACGAGGTGATAACGTATAGGGTAAACTACGTATTTAATCATCTAACTATCATTTTGGTTATGTTTTGGTCACTCAATTATTATTTTTTTTAAATCATTATTAATGTTATGTTTTGATTTTATTTTGGTCATCTGCCGTTAAAAAATTAACAAAAATTGTTGACGTGATAATTTTTTTATTTTTTCAACGATGACATGATATTATGTTATGGTAACATGTCAGTATGACTGATAAATTGTTAATGGCGAGCGATGATATCTAGAAATTTAAAAATTAAAGGTACTCTTTCTCAATAAAATTTGGTATACAATTTTTTCTCTTTCCCATAATAAATTAAATTGTATCTAGTAATTTATTTAAAATAATGGGTATTAGGGTCAAGTGCATCTGTCTTTATTAAAATGAGACCAGATTAAATTTAGACTAAAATGTAATATTAGTGATGATTTTGAAAAATAAAATAGTTGAATGATAAAAATAGAATTACAATAATAGTTGATTGACCAAATATGTAATTTACACCCACCTCTATACTGATTGCACCAAGGTCTCTCCCGGGTGTGGGCATGTCAAATTTCATTTATTTATATTTTCTATTTCTATGATTTTTTAATAATTTTATTTTAGTTTACCCAAACTAAAAGAGAAAATTATAAGTTTGGTCGTATTTGTTTTATTTTTTCAGTTTTGATCATTGAATTTAAAAAATTTACATTTCGATCAGTTACATTATTGATTTATTAAGATATGGTCACTGAATCCTTATTTTATAAAAAATAACTTTTACAATTACATATATACATAATAATAATTTTCATGAACATTTGTAGTTTTCTATATGAATTTTAAAATTTCTTATTTTATGTTTGTTTTCTAATTTAAATGATTTATCTGTTTTGTGGAGCCATGATGGGGAAAAAGAGCAGGTAATGCTCGTATTTACATATGAAAATTTAATATAATGATTTGGATATTTATTATTTACAAAATAATTACAATATAAGTTATTTATAATAAAAATATATTTACAAAACTAAATCAAATTATTTTTAGGGTAAATTACATCGTTCCTTACTGAACTTTATTCTCTCTCATATTTTACTCATCGTGCTTTCAATTTTTCTAATTTTCTTATTAAACTTTATATATTTAATCATTTTGTTCACTTTGTCGTTAACTTTTTAACGGTATTATGACATGACACAAACATCAAAACGACGTCGTTTTGAAAAATTCAAATATACATCAAAATCATTTTTGAAATTTTGTCAATCAAGTCACTAAATTATTTAAATGCATTCAACCAAGCCACTTGCCGTTAACAATTAACGGAAGTGCTGGCGTGGCAGTTAATAAAATTTGTATAATCACGTATTTAGTTCTTATTACTTACACAATCTATCAAATTGGTCATACTTTAAAATTAATTCAATATATTTTATCCTCCATCCATATAACTTCAAATCTTTTATATTGTAATATTTACAAATGATACACGGAGAATTATAATTTGATTCCTTGTTAATAAATTATTTTTTATACTACAATTATTGTCAATGACTGATGTAAATATAGTATGTTAAGTGATATGTCTACTCTAAAAACTATTTATGGATCTATCAATGATTTATATATTTGTTTTATTTGTCATTTTCGTATGCATGATCAGCCAATAAAATACAATACATATAATGAAAAAAAACCCATAAATAAAACAAGAATATTGATAACATAATGTTTTTATATCCAACTTAGCCAACGTTGTTGGCGACAATCTGACATGTACCTTGTAACAACCCCAATTATTGTAATTATTAAGATCAAATATATATTAGCCCGTAACAATTATTATGACCACTTGTTAATGTCATTATAGTTTATGTAATAATTTATTATAATAAAAGCACTCTCTGAGCCTACGAACTCAGAGTGAAAATTTATGATAAACATATCCCTATCTGCTCATCAATATCCAAAGACAACTCATTTTCTCTAATAATCACCTCTCGTTTACACTTTTATTTTCACTTCACTTTATCTCTTTCTTTTCTAGAAACCCGACCACTCCACTTCCAGCTACATGATCGGTTCGATTCACCCTTCTATTTGCCAACTCGACAAGCTCACAACGTTAATCATACCCGACTGGAAAGGAATCGCCGGAGATAGTCCACCGTGCGTAACGGCGTTACTGAACTTAAGAGTCTTCGATCTCATCGGAAATTCGTTGATAAGGAAAATTCCAGAACAGATAGGGAATAAAAAAAACTCACTGTTTTTAAACTTAGCCGATAATAAGCTAACCCGCAAAATTCCAACCTCTATTGTCCAACTCTCGAGCTTAAAACACCTCGATTTAAGCAACAATCTCCTCATCGGCGAGATTCCCGCCAAGTTTGGTAACCTCAAGATGTTGACTCGTGCGTTACTGAGCCGAAACCAACTCACCGGAATGATCCCAACCTCCCTCACCAACATGTATCGGTTAGCTGACCTTGATTTATCCTTGAACAAGCTGCGAGGTCAAATTCCACCTCAGTTGGGCAAAATCAAGATTGAGAGCTGGTAATGGAAATAATAAAAATAAATGAAGAAAGAAGTAAATAAGGTATGGATGAAAGAAAGTCTGAAGAGAAGAAATAGCAAAACACGTGGATTGTGGGGGAATTGTTGATAACATGCAAGAAAAGGGTAAACCACAAGGTATGTCATCCAAGTTTGGTGAGATCTTTACCTTGTCTCTTAGTTTTCAAGTGGTTATAGTTATGGCATAATAGTTTTTACAAGATCAATTTAGTCCATGATATTATTAATTAAATATTACTGGCTCTTCAAGTTTTTAGTTATGTAAATTGGGTTTTCAAATTATTAATTAAATTATAATAAGTTATTTTTATGGAAAGGAAAATTATTGGAAGTCGTATTTGTACGATAAATTATCCGTGTTCGTTAGAAAAAGATTGGAAGCTAGAAATCAAGTTGGTGAGCTGGAATTTAAGACTAATATTTTAGGTTTTGTTGATGTTAAGATTTTGAGGTTCATTTTGCCAAATTCAACCCCGAAATTATTGGAAGTTGATTTCAAGATTTAGGGTGTTCGAATGGAATTTTTATGGTCGATCAGTATGGCAAAAAAAATTGAGGTAATACTTTACTACCTCTTTATGCATTATGAAATATGTTGATATTGGTAAATGCATGAATAAGATAATGTTGGTCACTTTAGTGGAGTTGAATGATTTATACACTCGATATGAATGTGGTGGAAATTCTGTAACTGAATACGGATCGAATGACTGATATAAGAGATTGATGAATTGATAGAATTAAATTACAAGTTTGTGATTAGTGATAAAGAAATCAGTCATGGATTTATAACTTATATTTTATATCATCAAAGGTTAAATGTTAAAGGTACTTGGATGAGAAATTATGAGAATACTCTGGTAGGGTAAAATTACAAAAATACCCTTATGTTGTAGGATGACAAGAATTATCCCTGGAAGTTGATTAATAATTCTGAAAAGACATATTGATCTGATAAAACTACAAATGTGCATAAGAAATGCTAGTTATATTGACAAATTTGGATAATTGATTTTTAACACAAAGAGGGTTTATGCAAGATATTAGAAGTTTGTTAAGGAATCATTTCAAGATTCGAGAATGTTCGGGTAATCAATTAAGCATAGGATCTCTAAACTATATTTATTTTCGTTAAGAGTTAATACCAAAAGTATCTGAGTGCGAAATTATGAAAATGCCCATGAGTAGTGAAAATAGTCCAAGTTGACTCTGAATGAGAGAGTAACTTGAGAATTTGTTTTTAAACCGATAAATTACTGATTTGATTGTTGAGATCCTACCTTTGTATTGAAAATTTCTGAAAATTCGTTAGTAACATTTGAAAATACATTTAACCTGAAAGTTACCGAATTGATTAAATACCTGAAGAATGGTTTATCGAGGGTGTTTTTTTGGTCAGAATTGTTTGAAATGACTGAAGTAAGTGATAAGATTAAATTAAATAATAAGATCGAACGGAAGGAAATGATTGAATTACGCTGAATCTGTAAAATGACCAAAATACCTCTGTAATGGAAATGACCCAAGAATACCACCAAACTCAAGAATGATTGGATATCTTCGAGATCTGAAATAAATGGAATAAAAATGAACACCAAAATTACCAAAATACCCTTGTATCCTATTCTAAGTAAATGCCTTGGATTAATTAAGGAATCCAAATAAGCATAGGTATTGGACTACCTTTAAAAAGTTATGGAACACAGCTTAAGTAAGTCGATCAACTTTAATGATATGTCAGTACCTGAACGACATAAATATTACTTGAATGTGTGTTTGTCTACTCAAGTTTGGCTCGATGATAATTTTGGAAGTATTCAGCTCAGCTCAACTCTAGATCGCATTCAGCACTAAGAATTGGATATGTGTTCGACAAATTAACCACGAAGACCAAATTGAATTGAACGGATGTACAATATGTATTTAAAATTCAGAAACGTCTGAATTATTCTAGAAAACTCTAAAGTAACCGGGATAGACTTGCTTACTAAACGAACTAAGTAACCTCAATGACTGAGGATTAAATAGGTGATTGGATGAGTTTGGAAACACTGTTGAACTTACATGATGAATTGTCCTTATGGGTTGTACCATAAATCAAGTACGTCTGTATTTCATGATAAGTTGAAACGTGGAAATGAAATAAAGACCGTTGGAAGATCTATTCAGTGATGATTATGGGGATGATCTATGGATATACATTATGGTATTAAAGAGTGAATACACTGGAAGGATAATGAATTGACTTGTTGACATGCATCAGTTTGGGAGTTGTGTAACTCGAGTTGTTTGATAATACGATCGATAGTCATAGATTGTAAATGTCTTGAATCTTCGATTCTATATTTTCATCTAAAATCACTTCGGTCAGGTTTGAAAACGCAAGTAACACAGATGGAAAAGATTCTGAATACCTCATTTGGTTCAATTGGGTTGAAATCCTATGAATTCAAAGTATATTCTTGAATACCTCTGATTATTTTGGTAATGGAATCACTCGCAGTAAATCTAAATTTAGAATTATTATGTATAAAGGTTCCTGAACGTTTTCCTGATGCACATAGAAACTTAGTGGAATTCTAAAGTATCAATCTGAAATGTCTGATTATATCGGTTAGAAATCAATTCTCTTCAATGAGATCTTATTCTTGGTATCCGAACAAATTGTACAAGTTCATGTTATACATACTGATGACTACAAAATACCTCTGAAAAATACATGGATCATCTAGTGTGTTCCCTAAGTACTATTTAATTGTTTTTATCTATTTTGAAATATGGTACATTGAAATCTATGATTTACTGTTTATTGATACGCCGACTTACCGGTGATGGTTTATGGACTATGACTAATATATGATTATTGGTTTTAATTGATATATGATAACGATGATTACGAATTTATAGAAATTATGCATACTGCATAAATTGTATTTTGAAATACTGATTTTGGATGGATTGAATCACAGAGTATATCTCTGATCAAGCTGGTAAATCTTACGGACTTAATGTGACTCTTGGGTAGGCTCACGGGACCCAAGATGCTCCATTAGGTTGGCTTCCTTTACTGTGTGCTTAGGGTAAGCCCTATGGACTTATGGACTTAAGGATACATGCCCCAAAGCCTATCCTTAGGTTGGCTTCCTTTTTGCCGTGTGCTTAAGGTAAGCCTTATAGACGCAGTTCTGGGAACTGCGGATGGTGTACAAGAGAATGATTTAAACTATGAGTTTCAAAGGTTAAACTTCATTATGATTTTATGAGATTTACTGAACTGCCATTTTATAAATGTACCTATTATGATTTTATTGTACTCTTGGAACACACTAGACATCCTATTCGATCTCCTAAAAATGTTAAACTATGAATGCTTCTTATGAACTGAGATTCATGGCTTCTACTCGATGAACTACTAATGGAACCCCAGATTATTCTGCAATTGGTATACGTTTGATTCAATAAGGAAATTATGGCTTCCCATTTATCTGCATGTCATGTAGCATCATCTGGTAGTTCTGTATTACTGAGCTTTCCGAAGCTCACTCTATTACTCACAATTGCAGGTTAAAAGAATTGTACGAGTACATCTATCAACATCAGTAAGGGAGTTCTTCCAGCGTTGCTTGCAGAGTATGGTACATGTGATTAGGGGGCATGTGGATTGTATTTTGTTTTATAATTGAGTTTGGAAAACCTATTTTATTTCTAAATAATAATAAATCATTTATGATTTTACATGTTTTAAGAAAAGTTTTAAATTTTTCGCTATTTTTACAGTGGGTCACTCCGGTGGCCCTAATGTGACACTCCAGATCGGATCGGGCTATCCGCATCAGTCTGAGGGGGTTACATTTAGTGGTATCAGAGCTATGGTTTGAGTTAAAAATTTTCAAGATAGACCGGTCGGTCGAATGTCAAAATATGTCTGATCAGTACATGCCCCTAGACTACAATTGTATCTCTCTGAGCCGGAACTCCAGGGCTGAGTCCCTATCTATAACGAGTAAACCAAAATTTCTATCTGTTAAGGCTTTACTTGTACAAAAAGGAATACCAGTAACATCTGTTTAAACGCTGTGAAGTACCTCACGAGCCATGTGAGAGTTATTTATCTGAAAAATTATGACTTGACTCTGGAAATGAAATTGGGGTATGCTACTGCTCTATGAGCCTATTCTCATGACAAAGACTGAATTGATTACTCAAGGAAATTTTCGTTCGGATTCTCTTTTTGAAATGAGAGAAAGTTCTGATAAGAATGTATACTCAACTAGTTAAGGATTAGTGGAGGATTCGTATTTCTATAAGAGCTACATGAAAGATATGAAAAATAAAACTGATGGAAGTTTCATTTCTGCAATAGTATAACATGAATGAATTTCGAGGACGAAATTCTTTTAAAGAGGGGAGAATTGTAACAATCTCAATTATTGTAATTATTAAGATCACATATATATTGGCCCGTAGCAATTATTATGGCCACCTGTTAATGACATTATAGTATGTAGGCCCTGAGCCAACCACTCCTCAATTATGAAAGAGATGAAATTTGTGTAATAATTTATTATAATAAAAGCACTCTATGAGCCTACGAACTCATAGTGAAAATTTGTGATAAACATATCCCTATCTGTTCATCAACATCTAAAGACAACTCATTTTCTCTATAATCACCTCTCGTTTACACTTTTATTTTCACTTCACTTTATCTCTTTCTTTTCTAGAAACCCGACCACTCCACTTCCAGCTACATGATCGGTTCGATTCACCCTTCTATTTGCCAACTCGACAAGCTCACAACGTTAATCATACCCGACTGGAAAGGAATCGCCGGAGATATTCCACCGTGCGTAACGGCGTTACTGAACTTAAGAGTCTTCGATCTCATCGGAAATTCGTTGATAAGGAAAATTCCAGAACATATAGGGAATAAAAAAAACTCACTGTTTTTAAACTTAGCCGATAATAAGCTAACCGGCAAAA